AGATTGGAGAAAGTGAATTTGGAACTGAGAAACAGTGACTTAGTAACTGGCACCAAGCACCTAATAGTACACAGAATGCAGAAACCCTGCAGGAAATGAGGACCATTTTTAGGCTAACCCACCCATCCTTTGCTTACCTAAAAATGCAAGCATTATCTTTAGAATGAATAGGGGCCTCCTTGTGGTGCAGGGCCGGGTTAAAGTCTCAAGCTATTGGCAGTCACAGCCACAAGAATTTGATTCCTAGCCATGAAGGTGACACACATGGCGCAGCAGACCTCTCCTGTCTCGCCCACTGTACCCCTCAGCAGTGTATTTCAGTAGATTCCCCTGTTCTGCTCCCCACTCTTTCTCTGGTGAATCCTCTCACCCCCTGCACCTCTGGCCTATACCCCAGGTTTTTTTTTAAAGATTTATTTATTTACGCATACAAGAACTGGGGTACAGGCCAAGGTGTGGGAGGGTGAGAGGATTCACCAGAGACAGAGAGGGGAGCAGAAAAGGCAGACGGACCAAAAACACTGCAGAGGGGAGCAGCGGGCGAGACAGGAGAGGTCTGCCGTGCCATGTGGGAATCTTCCTGGCTGGCCAGTAGTCGAACCCACACTGCAGAGGCTGTGGACAGCTCCATAGCACTGTGTTCAACCCACTGCACCACCAGGGAGGCCGTGTACCCCAGTTCTTGTATGCATGAATAAATAAATCTTTTTTAAAAAATAGAGTGAATGGGCCAAATATCCCAGCATCTGCACATACACATGAGTGAGCCATTTTATTTGCTCAGGATGGGCCTGCGGGTCAGCCAGACCCTGTGCTTAGCTGGTCCTCTCCTGGTCTCTGCTGGAATCACTATGGGACTGCAGTCCTCTAGCAGCGCCACTGGGGCCATATGGTCAAAGCTGGCCTTACACAGCTGGTGCCCCATCTCCACTTGGCTCCAGTCCTCAAGGAAGCTGGCCCCAGCTTCTGCTCATGGTGGCAACAGCATAACGGGGCTGGGAGGTGGGGGGATGCTCAGCTATGGCTGCAGAGAAGCCAGGTCTCCCACAACATCAGTTCTGCTGCCTTCCATACAGGTAGACCTCATTTTATCGTACTTGCATTTTCATGCATACCACAGACATTGCAAAGTTTCGTACAAACCCCGTGTCCAGCAAGTCTATGGGCACCATTTTTCTAACAGTATGTGCTCATTCATGTCTTTGTGTCACATTTAATGAAGATATGTACATTGTTTTTAAAACAATATAGCTTAGTATAAGTGTTACATGGCAGGGAGAGGGGCAGCCCAAACCCCGCAAACCTGCCTGTTCTAAATGGGTTCTGCCATCCACTGCATCAACACAAAACATGAGACTTTAATGGGAAGGAACTTTAATACAACTAGGAAACAATACAGGTAAGGCAAAGAATCTAGTTTCTAAATCAAGCACCCAAAGTTACCCGTCCCCTCGTGGGTAAAAGTCCATCCAAATGGGATTGGCCCAGAGCAAGGCCCCAAAGCCTGCCACAAGTCTAAAGCATCATCCAGTGGGGACCCACAGAAAAGGGTTAGAAACAACCAGACAAGCCTGGAAGGAAAAGAGCAAAATCAACATCAAGATAAAAGCTGCCATTGTCACCTCCACATGGGTCTCACCCACATCTGTGTCATTCAGTCCACTACCAAAAGGCAAGCACTTTTCTTCACGTGTCTTAGGCTCCATGCGCCTCCTCCAGGTCTCCTTCTGGCTCCATCCTGCTTCCTTCCTTCCTCAGTCTCCTCTGCAGCTTCTTCTCTTCCTGCTCAGCTCCCCCCTCCCTTGTGTGGGGCAGGAGACCTGGAACCTCCCCCTTTCCTGGGGACCACCCTGTTACAAAAGCATAACTTTCATATGCACTGGGAAACAAAGCATTCATGAGGCTCACTTTACTGTGATATTTGCTTTATTGTAGTGACCTGGAGCTGAACCCACAACACTTCCGAGGTTTGTCTGGATTCAAAGTAAGCACAACGCCAGCCTGGAGTCATCAGGTGGAGAACCAGATCCCACCTTTGACAGGAAGAGTGGCAGAATCACATTGCAAGGGATATGAATGGAAAAGGTAAGAAGTTGTTGTGGCAACTTTCGGTCAATTAACACTACTTGGAAAATAAGCATACAGAAGATGTAGCAATATTAATATCAGACAAAGTTGAAGTGAGGATATAAAAAGAAAAAAAATGATGCTGTATTGATAAAAGAAATATTACAACAAGAAGGTAAAATAGCCCTGAACCTTTTTACATCCAACAACATAGATTCAAAACAGGTAAAGCAAAATCTGCTCAAAGTATAATGAGAAAATGCCAAACATTACAGTGGAAATTTTAATGTATGTCTCCCAGAAATTAAAGTATTAAGTTGTTTAAATAAAAAATTTGAGTAACACAAGTTTGTCTAATAGAGTCATTTATAATTACATTAAGCAAAGACTATACATTCATAAAACCTTGCCACTGGTTAAGCTGCAAAGGAAATCTTAACGTATCCCCCGACCCAAATACATGGACCATCCTTACATATCACACTGCAATAAGATTTGAAACAAAAAACAGAACAATATGATAACCAACCAACCAAACAAACAAAAAAACCCTAGCTATATATCTAAAGATTTTTTTAACAGACTTGTAAAAACTAAAGTTAAAGGCCTAGGCAGGGTCAGAATCCAGATTTCCAAATAACTAGTACTGTTCATGATCCAGTCCTTTAGTCGTTTTATTCATATAGAGTCATTTGTTTTTAAAAGTTGGCTGAATTATATGAAAGTCTGGGGAAATAGGAGAGTTAGGGGAAGAGACAGCCCAAAGTGACCTGGGAAAAGGATCTGCTGAAGCGACTATTTGTTCATCTAGGGTTAAACAACTACTTGTTCATCTGGGGAATCAGCAGCCAGTTCAGCAAAGCCTAGAATTATCTACTGGACAGCCAATGGAGGCCAGTGGTGGACTCAGCAGGCAAGTCAGGACAGGTTCTGGTGACTTCTGATCCCAGGTCAGATGCTGTTTGCTTCTGACTACATGGTGCAAATGAGCTCCTGTGTACAGAGGACAGAGGTGGCTACTGCAAGCAGGTAAAGGTCCAGAAAGGAACCCACTACCTAGAAGGATTCTATGACTAAACAAAGCTATATATGTGGATCAAATGGGAATTGTCAGTTTTCTGAACACTGCCATCAAATGGTACCCAACACACAAGCTAGGAGGTTTGCCAATTGAATGGACTTTGGTGCTTTATCTACACAGCATGAGCCAAGGGGCATATTTGACAGTGACACTACAGGAGATTATTTAGCCTGTGTTTAGGATAAATCTGAAAAATTCAGACCCCAAGCTTTCCATTTGTGATATCAATTATTTACATTGTTTGACTACAAAGATTAAAATACAGGGCAACTATCATTCTTTCTTGTACTATGCAACAGAACTTCTGTTGGGTTGAAATCATTTTTTTCCTCTTAGTGAGAATTCATTCATTTCTCTATCCACCCACCCAGCCACCCACCCGTCCATCCGTTTAACAAACATCCAAACCAAACCTAACACATCATAATAGACCCTTGGTGTTCTCCGTGTCACTGTTTACATCCCCTCTGAATACTTGTATTTGAGACAGATAAAGAATATGGTTTTGAGTTATTTTGGTGCCACACAACATTCTAGAAAGAAAGATAGCAAATTTTTTTTTTTAGTTAAAAAATTTCAAAATAACTGAAAAGAAAAAGGAGGAGGGACAGGTGGGTCCCAGCAGGAGGTGGGCGGGAGTCTTTTTCCCTATCTGTCTGCGTTTTAATTTGCACCAGAGCTTTCTCCCAATCTGAGGGTGTGGAGAAAACCAGCCCATTCCAGGCCTCACGGGAGTGGGGCGACCGTGAGGTGCAGCAGTTGGAGGAGTTTAAAATTTCTTAAACTCTCTAGTCCGGATTCTGGTTTCAGAGCCTGAGCTATTTTCCTTCTCCCCCACCCACACTTCCCCCACGTCACCCTCCAACACACGCGCGCGCTTTCCTAAGAATTTTGAGTCCAGAAGAGACGACAGCAAGTGTCCGACTGTCCTTCCCACTCTTCTGCACCCACATGCGTTGCTTCTGCTTCGCATCCCACACCCAGGAGACGCATCTCTGCTGCGGCCCGAGAGTAACCGGCTTCTTAGAGGCTTCACAAGCGCCATGATCTTTAGCACCCGCCTGTCCCCTCCTCCCTCTGCGACCGGGAGATTTCTGCAAGCTGGGACGCCGATTGTTCATTTCTTTATCTGCAAAACTCAAGCAAGGGACTCGATCGTGTCCTTAAGACCTGCAAGTTGCTCCTAAGAGCTCCGCGTCTGCCTCGGGGGCATGTAGAAGCAGGGCCGGCGCCCCCCAGCCCGCCCGCGCGCCCCTCGTCCTGCCTGGGGGCTCCGCAGCAGCGCACCGCAGCCGCCCCTGGGTCCTTCACCCTCCCAGCCAAAGACAGAGCCAAGCGGCGGCGCAGGGCGCTGAGATGAGTGGGGTCTGTCGTGGCCGCTGCGCTACCCTGATGACTTGCAGTTATTCCTGATTTTTTTCAGATGAGAAAACGAGGCTTCAACCCAGTGCCAGGCCCCTGGCGCCCGGATACCCAATTCTGGCTTCCCATCGCAGGATTTCTGTTTGGCCTCCCCAGGGCCCAGAAAAAAGTCTGGGGGCCAGGAGGAAGGTCTGGAAGGTTCTGGATCCTGTGTCTCATGCCTGTAGCGGGTTCCCAGCTCCTGCACGGGGCGCCCCAGCATGTGCGGGGGGAGTGGAGCAGATGCCTGGCGGAGAGGCAGGGCCACAGGAGGGCAAAGGCAGGCCCAGGGCGGCACGGGCTCCGGATCAAAGTCCCAGAGAGGCCACAGCGTGCGGGTCCCCAATCCCCGCCAGCCAAGTGATTTAGGGGGTTGCCCCGCCCTTTGGCCCCTGGGATGCTGATTAACCAGGCGACCAATAAGCGGCTGGGCGGCGCCGAGCCCCTCAGACAGCCGCGAGCACCGGCTCGCAGCGCGCCGCTCCCCAGGTGCCATGGAGCGTCCGGTGAGAGTGAAGACTTGGGTGGAAGAGAACCGGGCCTTCTTCCTGCCCCCCGTGTGCAACAAGCTCCTGTGAGTCCCAGGCACACCCCCCGCCGTCTGTCCTCTCTTCCTCTTGCATCTGCACCCCTCACCCCTCAACCTCTGGCTCAGAGCTCCTTAACCCTAAAACCTGCGTAAAGGGGGCTGTCATCTTCAATGTGCCTTCAGCGGTGAGGGCGGACTTTTGCGGGCGCCACCACCCTGGTGTTCCTCTTTCTGGTGACTGCAGTGAGGCTGTGACTTTGGCTTCTAAGGATGGTTGAGTGACTCTGAGGCTGTAGAGACACAGGTGGTAGGTCTCAGTGGTTCCAGATGCAGGAGAAAATTCCCCTATTCTCAGTTCTTTTTGGGCTAAAGAGCAAGCAAATGAACATCAGATAAAGAGGAGAAAAAGACCAAATTGAATTACATAGGCATGGAAAATTTACATGGTCATATTCCAGAAAAAATAGGACAAACCGAGGGCTGACATCTTGAGTTAAGGAATGCCCATCCCATTTCCCCAAGAGATGGAAGGGGAACTCATACGATGACTTGGGGATGACTCACATGACCAAACCTCGCCTCTACATGCTTGTACTGCCAGAAGATAGGTTTCTCTGAATTAAAAAAGGGGGGAGGGTATTTCTGGAGATGACCCTAAATCTGATAGTCCTCATTATTTAAGGTAACCTACCATTTGTCCTGAAGCCTGCCCCCCAGGGGAAGAAACAAACAGATCTCCCCTCTGCCCCACCCCACCAGTGACTTAAAGATTTGGGGAGATTAATTTCAAACCCCCAGAATTGTAGTAGAACCAGGGTCTGGGGACTGCCCCAATCTTATGCCCCAATTCTGTCCAGGAAACTGTGGGCACAGGGCAAAGTCAGAGCATCAGCTTCTGTGGGAGCATCTTGAGTTATTGTTCTTCTAGGTTCCCTTTTTGTGGGAAGCCACGCACACTCCCACTAGGCCTTCCCTGGCCCCCTCTGTCTGTAGCACCCCGCTGCTGGTGGTGGGTTCTGCAGTTCTCAGCCAGTAGACTTCTCAGGCCTTCAGGGTGGTCTTCACCACTCTCCCAGCTTCCTCCACCTCATGGCCAGCCTGCTGTGCTCCCCAACTCCAGACTCACATCTCCCACATTTGCTGTGCCCCCAGGATATCTCCAGGAGGGTAACACCTCAGACCAGGAGCCAGAGCCCATGCCAGCCAGGTATTCTCACATGACTACCTTTAATTCTCACAGTAACCCCATGAGGGGGGTTTTAATAAGTAACTTTTTCACTGTCACAGGGTCCAGTCTCAACTCATGAAACAGACTTCAAAGTCCACACTCTTGGCCACTGCGTAGCACAGCCATGGTTGACAGTTAACATGGCATCTACCGGGCCTCCCCGGTGGCGCAGCGGTTGAGCGCTGGGTTGCGAAGCTGCCTGCAGCCTCTGCAGCGCCGGTTCGATTCCCAGCTGCTCCCCGGCCACCAGAGGAGGGTCCCACATGGCGTGCAGACCTCTCCTGCCGCCCGCTGCTCCCCTCAGCAGTGTACTTCGGTCCTTCTGCCTGCTCTGCTCCCCGCTCTGGCTCTGGAGAATCCTCTCACCCTCCCGCGCTTCTGACTGTACCCAATGCTTGTATAAATAAATAAATAAATCTTTAAAAAAAAAAAAAAAACATGGCATCTACCACTGTGGTCATCCTCATCTCACAGTTTTGTCTTTGCCGCTTTCCCCCACTTCATCCCCTGTCCACAGTCTCATTCTCGGTCCTCAGTTTTCTCCCCGTGATGGTGTCATGTCCATTTGCTCCTCTCCAACCCTGGCAGTTTAGGCTGCCCAGCCTCCAGGCTCCCCACCCTGGCCTCCAGCACGGCCGCCATATTAATGACCACACAACACAGCCCTTCCTCTATTCATTCGATAAATGTTTGCTGAGCACCTACCACATGCAGGCATTGTTCTGGACACTGGGGATGTAGCAGGGATAAAATTCCCTTTCTTATGGAATTGACATTCTGGTGAGGGGGTGGGGTGATTGGGGGAGAAGGCAGCAAAAAATAAGAGCAAAGAAGGGGAGCAGGTAGACACGGAGGGCCACAGGGCAGAGTGATGCTGTGTCTTTACCCTACTTTGCTAGGGTTTTGGGGAGAACCTGCTCCATACCTCTCCCCACTTGGGGGGACTTGATGGCAATCTTTGCTTTCCTTGGCTTCTGTTCTCTAGCTTCATCTCTAGCTTCACCTTCTCTGACATTCTCCCTGTGAATGTGTCTGTGCCCACATGCCCATCGCCTTTAATAAAGACACCAGCCATTAGACAAGTTCCCCCACTCCTGGGTGACCTCATCGTGGTTTAATCAATTACATCTGCAGTGACCCTATTTCCAAATTAAGCTTTGAGGTACTGGGGGTTAGGACTTCACATGTGAATTTAAAGAGAATAAAATCAATCTGTTATGTCCCCAGTGACATGAGAAACTGTCGGAAGCTTTGGATCAGAAGGGGGTCATGATCTGGCTTACACACTTCAACTGATGGGTTGAACTAGTTCTTGAGTGGACCCTTTCAAGGCTTTCCATATGTACCTAAAAGTAAAGTTGATTTTTTTTTCTGACCACAGCCTTCTATTCTTTTCCTTTTTCAATTGAGGTAATTTACTTTACAACACTGTATAGGCTTCAGTTGTACAGTTTCTTACCTCAGCAACTGCATCCACAACACACTGCACCCTCTACCAAGTGTCCAGTCACCATCCACACCACCCAGCCAGCCCCCTCTAACTGCTCCCGCCTGCCTTTCCCACTGGTAACCACCACTCTGTTGTCAGAGTCTAAGCATTTGTTTTGTTCAGTAAAGTTGATTTTTGGAAACCCAAAAGTTTTCCAGGCTCCCTGGCATCTCCACATCAAGACCAAACTCCTTGGCTGAGTTCTGGAGGCCTGGGGACATGGTCCCCCATCCTAAACCAGTCTTCTTGCCATCACTCCCCAAGGCCATCCCCACACCACCAGATCCAGTCTCCAATCTTGGGGTCGCCCTCGGCACCTAACATTCCCTTCGATTTTCTTCCCCAAGTACCCACAATTCTAAGCCCAGCAATTGGGGGGAAGGGCAAAAGTCATAATCAGACGGCTCTGGAGGATGGGGGGGTAGATACAGGTCATTTACCCTTATGCTTCCCCATCCCCAGGAAGTGAGGTCTCCACTTTGCTCTCCTTTCAGGGGAGACCTTGGATCAGGGATCCTGGTTGACGAAGACATAGATCCACCACCACACTGTCCACTGCTGGGCCAGAGGACGTGGGAGACACGCACACACAGAAACACGGAGACGCAGATAGAGAAAGACACAGAGCACAGAGATGCTTGGAGCAGGGACGAGAGTGGGGGAGGGGGTGGGGGTTGATGCAGAAACAGCCCTGTGACCTCTCCCAGGTGCACCTAGGCTCCCTGCGGGCCCCCATAGTTTGCTGTACCCCATCTCCAGTCCTCACTCTTAGGAGCTGGTTCAAAAACTTTCCCTGCTCATCCACTACAGGCACCAGGAGCAGCTCAAAGTCATGTTTGTTGGGGGCCCCAACACCAGGAAGGACTACCACATCGAGGAGGGTGAGGAGGTAGGTCTGCATTGCCCCTCCCCGACCCTGTCCTGGGGGGCGGGCACACTTCCCACACAAGGCCCAGAGCCTGCGATGGATCTGAGCCAAGGGCAGATGTCTGATGGGTGCAGGGGGCACAAGTGAAATCACAGGGTAAAACTGCTGCCTCGAAGGCATGAGAGCCAGTGACACCTTGGTAGCCCCATCTCTAAAGGAGCTCTGCCAGGGGGAGGGTCCAGCCTCTGCAGATGTCAGAGGTCTGGCTATGGGGAACACCCCATGGACACAGGGGGGCCGTCCATACTTTGGGTGGGATACCTGGTGTATCCCTAAACCTGAATATAAAGATTTGCTTCCAGTATGACACCCAAACGCCAAGGGGGACCTGGATACCCCCATTCTGGTCCCAGGAGCCAAGTTCTCTGGGCAGGGTCAGAACTGGGTGTCCCCTCCTGATCCAGTGACTGGGGCTATTTGACTGGGTGCTGGAAGGACAGGGGGAGGGGGAATTTCACTGAATACCCTTTTGTACCTTGAATTTTGAACTGTGTTTCTGTACTACCCACCCCCAAAGTAAATAAACACAAGTAAAATTAAAAGAAAGAGATGGATCCCCTTAAAAAATGGCACAAGTGGGTTCCCAGCTATTAGAATCTCTAATTTCAGTAGATCCGCCTGTTCTGCTCCCCACTCTGTCTCTGGTGAATCCTCTCACCCCGGTTCTTATATGTATAAATAAATAAATCTTTAAAAAAAAAAAATTCCCTTCTTGCTGAGCTCAGGACTCAGCAACAGGCCCTTGGGTGTCCCGCCTCCACCCATCACCTGTCTTCCTCTATCCCCACTCCTTCCCTCAGGGTGCACATGTTCAAGGGGGCTGGACTATAGTCAACTGGACTGGATTGGGGCCCCTGCCTCTTACCAACTGTAGGATCTTGGCCTAAGTCACCTCATATCAGCTCTCTGAGCCTGTTTCCTTGAAGCACAGGGGATCTCTGGGTCCTGCTTGACACAAAGACTCAATGTGTATAGATTATGTGCGCAGAACCTGGCCAAAGCGCAGGTTCTTAATACACAAGTGTTCTCTGTCCCCCCATCCCCCCTCTCCAGTCTCGCCTGCCTGTTAGGCCTTTCCAGGCCAGGAGTCCAGATTCAATTCAATATCTGGCCAAGCCAGTACAGTTAATCTTCGGGCTAGCCTCAGGCCCCAAACATCATTTACTTCTTCCCAAGGAGCATAATTCCTTTTGGAGTGCCCAAGGCTATTTGGGGTTTTCTGCTGTTCAGGATCCACTCCCTTGCTTTAGGTCAGGCCTTCCCTCATCACAAGGAAGGCCTCAGGGCAGAGATGATACTGAGGAAATTTCCACTTGCTTCTTATGTTTTTTTGTTTGATGTCAGCTAATACTTGTCACAGACCTGAAAAGGGTTTGAATTTGATCAAATCTCCCCAGATTCGACCTCCCCCACCCCACCCTAACCCAGTTTCCCCTGATATTTGCTGGGTCTAGAGCTCACAGAACACTGTGAGCTCCTCCTCCTCTCTTTCCATCATGGAAGGACCTGCCCCTCCCCAGCAATCACACTGAGGCTTCCTCCCAAATTGGGAGGCAGAGGGAAGGCTTCCAGAATTGCTTCCTAAGAGAGCCTGGTAGGCTTTTTTCTTATTTGTTTTAAATAACTTGCATGGGTTGTTTTAAATAATAAGAGTAAATATTGTGAGAAATATTTCTGTATTTCTAGATGGGAAATATAGAAAAGACAAATGAATATGTCATTCGTAATCCTACCACTTGGGGAGACACTGTGAACACTGCCTATGTGATTATAACTCTGCAGGCATCAAATATTCCTGCCTAATTAGAATCCTGCTGGGTGTAGTTTTGAATCCTGTTTTAACACAATAACTTGCGCATTTTCCATTCTATTATTTGAAAATGGAGTTTGTAATGACTGCATAATGTTCCATACTTTGAATCCACCATAATATAATGACATTTCTCTGTAATTATTAGCATTAGCACTAGCATTATGCTATGCTACTCCTGACATCACCAATATAACAGCAGAGGTTCGTTGAGTGCTGAGTGTGCAGGTACAGTATCCCTGGGAATTTTCACATCTGTCATTTTATAGATGAGGAACAGAGGCACAGATTGACTGGCTGACTTGACCAGGACACACAGCAAATTGGCTGAACAGAGGACCAGTCTGGCTGACACCAGAATCAGTGCATTTAACTGCCATGCACTGTAATCAAACACCCATGTATGGACACCCCAGGCAGCTGCATTTCTGATCCACACTGCCCACCTCTGAGAGATGGAATTACTAGGTCAAGGGTATGAGGTGGCCACCTGTTCTGGATTGCCCTGAACTTCCCTGCTTTCAACATGGAAGATCCTGCATCCCGAGAAAACCTTCAGACTACCCCACTGGGTGTGGTATGCGAAGGTGTCCCTGCCTGCTGCCAAATTGCCCTTCATAGAGCTTGTGTCGACTTGTCCCTCATGGCCGACTGTCAATACACATTTCTCTTATTCCCCTGAACTCAGTTTGATTTCTCTTAGTAGATGCTGTGGCGAGAACCTCTCTCCCCTCTAGCTCCTTATGTGATAATCATAATTATTCGTAATAACACAACGTATTCTGTTGGGGCATTAAATGTCCATGTAGTATGTGACTGGTGGAGAGAAAACATGTCTGCTTCCTCCTCTCAGCTCCATGGGGTGATCTCAAGAAGCACATTAATTTGGGACTTGGGACGGAACAGGAAAAATGCAGTAGGAGCCCCCGTAGAGAAGCCAGGAGCGGGTGCTCCCATCCCTTGCTGCCCCCAAACCAGCTCCCAACATCACTGAGTCCACCTCTGATAGGGTCAGCCCCTGCCAGGGCATCAGGGTGGCCAGAGGACCAGCACCGTATCCAGAGCCACACATAGTCCGAACGACATGACCTTGGCACATTGCTTTACTGTACCTGTTTTCTCATTTCCTTTTCTGCAGAGGTGGGGAACAATACCTCCAGAGGTAGTTGCAAAGAGCTCCAATCTGCATATACTTGCTCTCCCCTGTGCACAGCAATGGATGGTTCTCTTTAACTGGCAGAGGGTTCTGAATTCTCTAGCGAGCATCTCAGCCAGCCTCCCACCCCCAGCCAGGCCCCAACTACTGTGTCCTGGGTACTCTGGTTATTACATGTGTGTCGGGATGTGGTCCTTGGGTGTCCCCAGCACGCCTGCCTGGGACCTGGGTCAAGGGAGGCTGGGGCCGCAGGGCATGAGTGAGGGAGCGTCTCATGAGCCCCAAGACCTTCAGGGAGATTTTTTGGTTTCCTGTGTAGAACTAGGGGCATGAGCAGTGGCCAGGGACCTGGAGGCTAGAGTGGGAAGGGCCCACACTTACCTGCTGTCCCACAGGTGTTTTACCAGCTGGAGGGCGACATGGTTCTCCAAGTCCTGGAGCAAGGGAAACACCGAGATGTGGTCATCCGGCAGGGAGAGGTGAGGCTGCACCCCCACAGGCAGGAGGCCACAGGCCACCAGAAGAGGCTCCTACTGCATCCACTCATCCTGGTCTACTGAGGTCTTGTCCTCCTGGTTTTCTCCCGCCCTCCTGCCCAGCCACTGCCCCGCCCAGTCCTGGGGCATTTCCTCTCCCAGTTGCCTCCCCTACATGGTTTCCCCAGTAGAGGCTGGGCAGTGGGGTGGGCCGGGTTGGACCCTGTGGGTCACAGGGGAGGCCCAGGACACTGCTAGCACTGAGGTCTCCATGAGGGATTGCAGCCTGGCTCACACCTTGTCTCCCCACCTTGCAGGTATTCCTCCTCCCTGCTGGGGTCCCCCACTCTCCCCAGAGGTTTGCCAACACCGTGGGACTGGTGATTGAACGGAGGCGACTGAAGTCCGAGCTAGATGGGCTCAGGTAAATGGGCCTTGTCTGGGGGTTGGGGTGCAGGAGGCAAGCTGCAAAGGGAAGAAATCCTGGATAGACCCAAAAAAGCACTCCCCAATCCCTGAGAGGGCTGGAGGCCACAGGGAGCTTGTTGACTGCTGGAGAGAAGTTGGGTAGGGGGTGGGGGAGGTTGCTGGTAGGGGCTGGGGGGCCATGGAAAGTTCTCTGTGATACCCTGGGAGCCCACTCAGCCTGAAGACATTCTGGATAGGACCAAAACCTAGGCTTTCAGCACTGAGATCTGCTGGGGGTGGGCACTTCGAGGATGCCAAAGTCAGACCCACATGGTCTGTGCCACAGCTGCTTCTCCCAGCTGCCCCTCCCCACCCACCTCAGTGTTTGTTCAGCCTCCACCAGTGCCTGTCTCTGCGGGCTTCAGCCCGCTCATCAGCAGTAACATTTGCATAGCGCTTGCTTGTGCTGGCACCAGGCTAAGCGCCTTACTCGTGTTTATTTATTCAGTCCTCACTCACCGTGATCTTATGGGGTAGGTGCTATTTTCATCTGCACTTGACAGAGAAACTGAGCAGAGAAGTCAAATTTGCTAGAAAGGATTGGCATTATAGAGAAATATGAAGTAGGGCTGGGACAGCTAGACAGGAGTGAGTCAGCTCTGAGGAGGGGACACCCATGGGAGGGTGGGGGACACTGTTTCTATGGCTGATTTCCCATTTTGTTCTGATCAGTCACCCCATTATTATCCTCTGAAAGGAGAATGAAGTCTGACTCTGGGGGACAAAAATTTTTCCAAAATTTAAACCATTTTTTGGGTATATTTTAACTAAAAAATTACATTTTCCCACCAAGTTACTCTTTGTCCCACATTTCCTGTCACAATGGACATTTTTAATGCTTCCCCTTTTTCTAATTACCAACGTCATACTCGTTCTGCCTTGAAATCTGGAAAAGTACAAGAAAGCAAAATTAAAATGACTTTCAGGAAACGGGTGCGTTTTATGGTAGGTGAGGGATAGCTCAATAACACAAAACAAACACTAATAAAGAGAAAAGCAAAAAAATCATCATCCAATTAAACCTCACTAAACACAATCACTTCCATTTTGCCTTTTTTCTGCGAATATCCACAGTTTACAACACCCAGTCTTATTGCATGTCTGGGTTTGAGTTTTGTTTGTTTTTTTTCCTTAAAAATACTCATGAGTATTTCTCATATCAGTAAATGCTTTTCAAAAGACACAGTGTTAATGATTGCATAATAATCTACTGCATAATAGTCTGTTGTAGACACAGATGTCGGACTTTAAATTCTAAAAGAAATTTTTCACATGGGGCTTTATATAGGGAATTTTTAGTGATAGGGAGGATAGTGTCCCCAATAACATTTTTACAGCAAAGTCAATAACAAATTTCATCTGACTGCTTTTGACCTTTAATAAAAGCCGGGACTCAACATTAAAATGCCACTGTGAAGGCAATTCCTGGAGGGCACCTCAGTCCAGTTATAAAGCTTTCTGGTGGCCAGCATTATCCCAGGATAGCACTGAGCATGCTGGGCAGGGTGGCTGTTCTGTGTGTCTTTAAACCATCCCTCATAAACAGGGCCAATCTCCTTGGAGTTGAAGTGCAGATAGCTGGCCTGGCCCTGGGAACTGAGCCCCAGAATCATATAGTCAGTCAACAAACACCTCCCAGCACTGACCATGAGCCTGAGGCAAGGCCAGTGGTGGAGCCAAGCAAGGTGGGCCTCAGGGAATCTACTAGAAGCTGTACATGCACATGGGCTTTCTCTGGAGAGAGGCAGCACTTTGACCCAGTTCTCGAAGCCATTCATCATCCTAAAGGAAGGACTCCTCATACCAATGGCACCTTCTCCATGTTGGTTCCTCATTGCTCTCTTCACTATGACACAGAGCAGAGCATGCCCCAGCCTGAAGCTGAGCCTCCACTTCCTCTTTGGAAAAATGAGGCCACCTGTCATCAATGTCCTCTATACGCATAAGACTGTGAAGCCCGAGGCTTCTGCCACTTATAGGCTGTGTGCACCCTGCCAAGTTGCCCTGCTTTGCTGAGCCTCAGAGTTCTTTCTGCTTAGTAAATGGTCAAGTTTGAGGAACCTGCTATGCAGATGGAGTCAACAAGAGCCCTCCCATTTTGGGGGCACACGCCTGTATCTAGGAGAGCAGATGTGGGGGTGAGCTTTGACCACTAGGTTGCGCTAACAGGTGAACAGGCAGCCAGCTCTGCAGGGCCTATGCCCAGAGTGCCACAGGTTGAACCAGGCCTGAGGGAGGCTGCTAGGTGGGCAGCTGAGTTCCCTTTCTCTGCTCTGGCAGGTACTACTTGGGGGACACCACAGACGTCCTGTTCGAGAAGTGGTTCTACTGCGAGGACCTTGGCACACAGTTGGCTCCCATCATCCAGGAGTGAGTCCCTGGCCCCTGCTCCTCAGGGAGAGCAGATCCCCCCCAGCAGTGCTCCCAGCACCCCCCAGCCTGGAGTCATCAGACCTAGGATTTAGGAAAAAATTCTGCCCACCCTGTCTGGGGGAGCCTGGAATGGAGAGAACCCTGGGGAGGAGAGGAGACTGCTCCATGGGGTTGGGAGGGAAAGAATGCACCTGAGAAATGTGTGAGTGAGTGCTGTGTGTGCGCGTCTCATTGGTTCCTCAGACAGAAACGCAGTCCGCACCTCCTCCCATTTGTCCCTGCAGGTTCTTCAACTCTGAGCAATACAAGACAGGAAAGCCCATCCCTGGTGAGGCCACTGGGAACCACCTTTCCCTCTCCCTCCCTCCCTCCCTCCCTCTTTTCCCAAGGTTGGGTGGGTCTGGCCCAGAGTACCAGGGAGTAGCCTTTTGAGTACTCTCTCTAGTATTCAAGGTATGAGAAGATGGCATCAAATAGTACCCCCACATGGCTGCTTGGTCCTTGAGTTGGATCAGAGAGCATTACAATGTGGGGGCGGGGGTGTCCCTGGGAATGGGGCCCGCTACAGCTGGGCAGGCTGGGCCCAGAGGACACTGATGACAGCTGTGCTGCCGGTGCAGACCAGCTGCTCAAGGAGCCGCCGTTCCCCCTGAGCACGCGATCCATCATGAAGCCCATGTCCCTGGAGACCTGGCTGAACGGCCACCGCAAGGAGCTGCAGACAGGCACACCCCTCAACCTGTTTGGAGACACCTATGAGACCCAGGTAATGCAGCCCTGGGCTACCCAGGGTGTCCACCCAGCAGTGCTGAGAAATGGAAACTAATCACACACACACACACACACACCAGATTTGAAGGTTGTATACATGGGCATAGCCATCCTGTTTCCCTCTGAGTAGAAGTCTGTGGAGGCTGCGTGGACCCAGGCAATCTTTCAGGTTGTGTTAGAGTAGGGAGGTACCCATCCACAGACAGGTCCTGGGTTTATCCCCCTGCTAGCAATATCTGAGTCTTTGGCCAGTCACAGCCTTGGGAGCCAGGAGGGAGAGAGGGATTTGAAGGTTGGGTTTACACCCAAGTAAAGCTGATCTTCTTTCATTCAACATCTATGTAGTACCTACTGTGTTTCAGACTTTGTAGGGAAATAAGATAAAATCACTCACTCAAAGAGCATACGATCTTGTAAACAGGTAAATTAATCAGCTATTGCCACAATCTTGTGATATATATGCTATTTGAGGGAGACACTACAGGAAACCATATGATGATAAAGGAAAAATGCAGGGTAGGTGAGAAGTCACAGAAGGCTTCTTGGAGGAAGTGATATATAACCCTCCATTTAAAAGTTAATTTGGGGGGACCTCCCTGGTGGCACAGGGTTTGGGTACACAGCACTATCAAGCTGTGACCAGCCACTGCAGCACAAGTTCAATCCCCGGCCAGGGAGCTACCCACAGGGCACAGCAGACCTCTCCTGTTTTGCCCGCTGCTCCCCTCAGCAGTGTATTTCAGTAGATCTGCCTGTTCTACTCCCCACTGTGTCTCTGGCAAATCCTCTCACTCCCCACACCTCTGGCCTATACCTCAGTTCTTACATGCATAAATAAATCTTTTTTTAAAAAGTTAATATAGGAATTCACAAGAGGAAGAAAGGGAGAGGCAGAGGTTATGGGAAAACATTAGCAAAAGCATGGAGGCCTTGTTCTGTTTCCCACTCTGCCTCTGGTGAATCCTCACCCCCCCATACCTCTGGCCTGTGCCCCAGTTCTTGTATGCACAAATAAATAAATATTAAAAAAAAAAAAAAAAAGCATGGAGGGTTAAAACAGCCCAGCACTGCAAGGAGTTGAGGTTGGCAGGAGCCAAAAACAGAGAGGTTGGGCAGCAGGTATGATTTCTAGGTAGCCAGAAAAGCAGGCAGTGCCCAGACCATTGTGGTTCTCTGTGACTGAGAAAAGCATAAGGACTTATCTTGGAGATTGGAGTTTCGCTCACGCATTCAAGCAGGGGAGTGACAAGGGCAAAGTGGTATTTCAATCACTGTCCAATATAGGGGGGAGGGGTCAGGATGGCAAGTGTGCAGCTAGGAGACCTGCTAGCCTTGTACTTTCAAATGTTCCCTGGCACATCAGTACTTTCTGAATCATCCAGGAGAGGGATGCTCACTGGACACAGAACTTCCCCGCAGAGGCCTGGCCAGCAGAGGTTCAGCTTACGAGGAGATAAGAGCAGGCACCACAAAGCCACTGCCCCCTATCATGGCTACATCACTCAGCCCTCTGCTGGCCTCATGGCCCTGCCTTCTGCCTCTTTCACACCCCTGCCCCTCCTGCTTCTGTTTGCACCAACATGCACGTCCAGAGTCCTACTCTTGGCCAGTGGGAGTGCAGGCTTGTGGGCTTCCAGGTCAGTGCAGATCAGAGGGGCCAGCCTCACTCTCGCTCTGGCTCATCCCCTCCCACATTACCCCCTGGAGAAGAAGAGGGGGCATCCTCTGGAGAGCTATTGTGCGTGTGCTCCACGGGTCTACACTATGCCGTGGACACAAACATGCACGTCCCAAGCATGCCTCTGGCAGGCACACTTTCATCTAGGTCAGCAAAGCTGTGATGCGCATCAGAGGGACCAGAAGTGCCCGTGGGCAGGGTCGGCCATGTGTGATCCTGAATCGCAGGTGGGCGGCACCGCCTGCTGGAGGCTGCTGGAAGACCTGTGGCCTGAGGACTCTTCCTCTCTAAGTCCTGCATCTGCTCTGCACACAGCGATCAGGTTGTGTTGCAGGCCCTGCCGGACCTTGCACCGGCCTGGTATCTGGGGGCAGGTTCAAGCGCATCTCCAGATAGATCTGTGTTACTCCCCACCAGGTGATCGTCCACGGACAAGGCAGCAGCAAAGGCCCAAGACAGGATGTGGACGTGTGGCTGTGGCAGCTGGCAAGTGGGACTTGGGGAGAGGGTGATACCACCTCCTGTGCGTGGGAACCAGGCTGTTCCTGGGCTTGGCTCCATCACTGGGACTGACTCCCAGGGCCTCCTTTGCAGGGACACTTGGACAAATGTTAAGGTCTAAAAGCCTCCATTTGATTCTCCTTCTCTCTCCCAGGAGGGGTCCTCTGTAGTGACAATGGGGGGACAGCGTCTGAGTCTGACCCCCGATGACAGCCTCTTGGTGCCAGCCGGGACTTCGTGAGTACCCGGGAGGGCTTGCCCCAGCTGCGGGATTTCCTGTCTCCCCTGGGATCCTCAGGGCTCAGCCTCATCTCACCCCTGCCCATCTGTGTCCGCAGGTACACCTGGGAACGAGCACAAGGCTCTGTGGCCCTGTCAGTGACCCAGGACCCCGCCCACAAGAAACCCTTGGGGTGATCCTCCTGCTGCGGCCCAAAGCAGCCACAGGGTGTGCCCAAGAGCCACCCTAACAAATAACTCACCCAGAGGCCACCCCCTTCCTGGTGGCTTCTACGGTACTGCTGTTAAGTGACTCAGTGTCCCCTGCACTGGGCCCATCACTGTCTATCCTCCTCCTGTCCTCTCCCCAAGTGCCAGGTCCTGGGGTGCCTGTAGCTCCCTTCTCCTCTAAAACCCTCATCCAACTATCCTGTACCGTTCCACCGGGTGGTCTCTCCCCGAGGCCTCTCTGTCCTCCTTCCCCACAGGCGGAGCTCAGCGCTGCCTGCCGCCAAGGTGGCCTCAATAAAGGTTTCCTGACTGGTCAACACCTGTGGGTCGCTTGAACACGGGCCATTGTCCATGGCAGACCTGTGTGCTCCCGTGCGTGCATATGTGTGTGTGTGTGTGTTGTGGGGTTCAGGAACACAGGGGTCCTGCACATGTGGAGCTTCTGTTATCCATGTCCCTGCCTGGGGACACCAAGTGGCCCTGAACCATGCAGACTCCATGACTTGTCCTCTTTCTCTGTCCCCACTTATTCTTTTTTATGTTACTAAAAGACAGAGCATCTGTTGGCTTTTTGGCTCCCCCCGCAAATAACAGTATTGATTTGTGTTAATTGCAGAAAACAGAAACATATTAAAACACAAAACCCCCCACCCAGGGTTAATCACTCTTAATATCTGAAGGTGTCATGAGCCCTGAGAGTCATAAAGATATATCAGAAGCTTGGGGGGGGGGGGGTGTTTGTGTGTGTGGGGGGGGTCGGGGTGGGGGTATCTGGCTTGCCTTTCCACCAACGCTGCTATGCATAAACACCATGTCCAAAAACTCAGAGGGCCCCTGAGTCTGGAGTACTGGGGCCTCAGAAGCAGCAGTGAGCAGAGAGGTAGAGATGTGGTTTCAGTTCCAGGATTTCAGTGAGAAGTAAATGAGACGTCACATCTTTGGGTGACAGTCACCTCCAGAAAATGTGGGGTCTGAGCCCTGGCTTACTTCCTCCCCACCCCCCCAGCCCACAGTCTCTGGTCAGAGGAGAACCTGCCTTTGCTGGAAAGGCTTTCCACCCCAAGGGTACCTACATGGTTCCCTAAGGCCTCTCCTCTTCTCAAACAAAATAAAACACTGCCAGCATCCCCCAAACTTGAAAGCAGTCCAGGGCCGTGAGGCTAGAGTGATGCCCCACATGGGAGCTGAGAAGAAAATGCGGGGGTGTCCCGGGGAGGTCCCTGGACAGAGAACAGGAGCCACAAGAAGAGCAGTTTGTTCCGAGTGCCAAGAGCAGGTCTAATCTGAGACAGAAAAGCAGAATACCAGCTCTGTGCCAGGGAATCCCCCAGAAGTTCTTATGAATGTTACCTTGTTTAATCCTCACAACTCTCCAGGAAAGCAGTAGAACCCCATTTTACCCATGAGGCTCAGAAGGGTTTGGGAAGCAGGCAGCTGTGTCCAGGCCAGGCCTGTCTGCATTTCAAGCTCAAGCTGGCGTCTCATGCCCTGCACATGGTGGTGGCAGTCTACCTGCCCTCAGTTTCAGCCAGACGGGAGCCAGGGCAGGAGGTCCCTGGAGGGTGCTTAGGAGAGGGACTAGGGGTCACTGTGCCTGAAACTCTGGGGCCTGGTCAGCTGGGGGTGTGGCTGGCAGAGCCCATGCCACAATGCTGATCACAACCAGGTGGCAGGTCTCGGAGCCTGGAACCACAGTCTCCCTCGATACTGTCCCGGGTTATCTCTGTCCTAAGGCCTGGCCCCATGGGCTCATGAGAACACCACAGAGCAAGGGAGCTGAACTTGAACCTTGTCTGAAACCAGCCCTGCCTTCTGCGCCCCTCTCTGCAGTGGCTGCTGGTGAAGTGGAGTGTGGCACAAACAGCAGAGAAATGAGAGTTCTCAGAACTGTTCTGTTTGTCCCCAGGTCAAGGCAGCAGGGCTTGTCAGAGAGCCCTCTGCCTGCGGATGTGCCTCGTCACACCAAGGACTTGGGACCATCACAGAGTTCAGAGCCATCAGCAACCGCAGCCAGCCTGCGGATACGCCGCAGGCTTGTCCCCATAAGGCTGTGAACTTGCAGGTTAAAGTGCTGACAGCACTTGCAGGCTCCACCATCCCTGCTGCTTAGCTGGGGGCAGCCTGTATGTATGCAGGTGGCCACGGAGCAGGGAGAGCTGTCCCGATGGTCTGCGCCCTCCTGAGCACTGTCTGGGCCAGCTCCTGCCTTCAGGCAGGGTAGTGTCTGTCCACTCAGGCAAACACACCCTCAGAAGTACCCCAGGGGGCCCTTCTTCCTACAGCTCTCTGGGCCTCCCTCTCACCTTTGCTGAAGCCTACTTCCTTCCCTGCCAGGGGCAGCACAGTTCACCCCTCTCTACCCCAGACAGGGTTCAGAGATCACAGGGAGGTCACACAGTAGGGGGTGGCTCCAGCAAATGAGGACACTGGGTGTTTCTCAGTGGCTGAGAGAGTGCTGATGAAAACCCCAGGATGTTGAGCCATTGTGGTAATTAGCTGATAGCGAATAGTCACCTGCTCGGCCCTGGGCACTCATTAAGGGACAGAAAGGCTGGAAACTTCTCTCAGGTCCTCAGCCCAAGCTGCCCATGGGATTTCAAAGCCTGGCCTCTCCCTCTCCTGCTTTCTCTCCCTTCTCCCTCACTGCTGCTTTGGGGTCACCAGGAGAGGCCTCACCTACCTGTCCCCCGATCACCTCCCAGCCAGTGTCTGCTGTACTGGTTCCAGTCCTGGGCGTGGAGTGTGCTCTGGGCCTGGTGGGGAACAGCCTGGCCCTCTTCATCTTCTGCTTCCGCATACGGCCCTGGACCTCCAACACCGTGTTCCTGGTCAGCCTGGTGGTTGCTGACTTTCTCCTGATCATCAACCTGCCCCTGCGCATGGACTACTACTTTCTCCAGGAGAAGTGGCGCTTCGGGACCACTGCCTGCAACATCAACCTCTTCATGCTGTCCACCAACCGCTCGGCCAGTGTCGCCTTCCTCACAGCCATCGCGCTCAACCGCTACCTGAAGGTGGTGTGGCCCCACCACGTGCTGAGCAAGGCCTCGGTGTGGGGGGCCACCCAGGTGGCCGGGGGCCTCTGGGGGGGCATCCTGTTCCTCAACGGGCATGTGCTCCTGAATACCCATTCCAACCATTCCTGCATAAGCTACCAGCTGGGCACAAACTCCTTGGCCTTGGTTCATTGGCACCGGGCACTGTTGATGTTGGAGTTCTTCCTGACGCTGGCACTCATACTCTTTGCCATCGTGAGCATTGGCCTCACCATCCGGCGCCGGGGCCTGGCAGGGCAGGCGGGCCCGCGGAGGGCCATGTGCATGCTGGCCACGGTGTTGGCAGTCTACATCATCTGTTTTTTGCCCACCATTGTGGTGGGCACGGCTCTGATGGTGGCCCTCCGCCTACGTGCCTGCCACGCCCTGCACATCTGCATGCAACTCTTCCACGGCTCCATGGCCTTCACCTACCTCAACAGTGTCCTGGACCCTGTGCTCTACTGCTTCTCCAGCCCCAACTTCCTCCTCCAGGTCCGGGCACTGCTGGGCCTCACCCAGGGCTGGCAGGGCCCAGTCAGTGATGAAACCAACTACCAGCCCTCCTGCCAGAGCCGCAGCCAGAGCCAGGGCAAGAGAAGGAGCAGGAGCAGGAGCTGGAGCAGGAGCAGGAGCTGGAGCCGGAGCAGGAGCAAGGAGGCCTCTAGGAAGGCCGAGGCTGCAGGGAAGCAGTAGCCAGGGGTCTGTCAGCAAGGCCCTTCCCAGGACTGGGGGTCTGCTACAGTGCCGCAGGGTGAGGACTGCCAGGCTTTGGCCAGGAGGGACATGGTCTTTCCCTGGACTGCTGCCGACATGAGATGCCTCAACTGATTTTTGGATAAGGACATCTGCAGGAGCCAGGTGGGCAGCAGGGAGAGCAAACGGCCTTGGCCTTACGGGGAGGGTGTCCCACCACCGTGCCCAGAGTGCAGGGGAGAGCATGATGGTGGGTGTGGACCAGAGGACTCTGTGGGAGCTCCAACTCAGACCAAGGCCCACCACATCCCTGTCCCAGGTCATATGATTTCCGTGAGAGCAGATGTTTTTCCTGCTTTAGAAATTGCATGGATGCATTTTGTGTGATCTCTTTCAATACTAATAAACTTCTTTTTGAAAATATAAGTCTGTCTCAGCTCTTCGAAGGAAAACTGAGTAAATGTCTTCGGTTCCAATCCAGTGTTGGAGTCAGTAGGGTTTATTTATTTTTTAATTTTATTTTTAAATTTTTTTTCTTTTAACATTTATCATTTTTTAAAAATTTTTAGACAATATTTGCTTCCCCCACCCCCTCAGATTGAGTCCCCATAGAATTTCCTTCCCCAAGGCACCCATGCACCATCACCTCAGTCCCCTGTGCTCCTCCCTCCCTCTGATCCCTCTCCCTCCTCCTCCCCTGCAGGATGTCTCTGGTTTATAATTGTCTGTTTTTGCTTTGCTGTGTTTTGTACTGTTATTATTATTATTTTTACACTGATGTCTTATTTGGTGCCCCAATATTCCTGTTATAAGTGAGACCATCCGATAGTTTTCTTTTTCCTTCTGGCTTATTTCACTGAGCATAATTCCTTCTAGCTCCATCCATGTTGCTGCAAATGGCATGAGTTCATCTTTTTGATTGCTGAAGGAGTCAATAGGGTTTAAAGTATGTGCCCCAGAACTACAGTTTATCTCCCCAGTCCTTTACTTAGCACATTTGCTAAAAATAAATAAATAAATTAACTCTATTTGGTAAGGGAGTCCTCTATGAGCTGCTCCCCGGCCCTCCTCTTCTGCCTCTCCCTGCGGACATCTGCTTGCTGCAGTCCTGCTGGACTCTGGCACCCCGGGATGCTGCCTGACCAGAGCAGATCCAAACCAAGAGGGAGAAGCACTTCTGAGGTCTGACGGCTCAGCATCCTGCCACATGGCACCCGGGAACACCCTGGGAAGTGTTGACCCGCCGGAGAACCCGGTGTCAGGTGCATGGTCATTGCTCCCCATCCAGTGAGCACAGTGATATCCATTGTCTTAGAATGTGATGGGTGACAGCTTGAGCTTAAAGTTGAATTTCAGAATGTTCATAGAAAAAAACTAAACTTTTTCCCTTTATAAGCCTCCTTTGTCTGGCTGCTGTGAGAGAGAAGCCTGGGCTTAAAAATGTGTTCCTCCCTATTTTCTTGCCTTTCCCATCATACTCTGAATTTTCCCTTTCATCCCTCCTTCGCTCTCTCCTTCCTTTTCCTGTCAGGCCATTTTTCAGATCTACCTCAAAGATACCTCAAGTTTGGTATCTGATAATATTGGTCCTGCCTCTTCCTGAGTGACCTTTTATTTTTAAGATGACTACAGACCTACTTTAGGTGTCTTTGGTACCATTCTGAACAGTAACTTTAAAATGACACATCTTCCAGTGTTAGGAAGGGGGCGCGTCTCTGTAGATGAGTCTGCTGCTGTCACCACCCTCTGTCTCCCTCAGCCCCTAAAGCACTTGCTCCTTTTCCTCCTTTTGGCCGTGCATGTTGGAGTTTGTAGAACTGGACCACTCCGCCTGGCTGTGGGATGGTGATGAGTGCCTGCCTCCTTGGGCACATAGGATGTCTGCAGTGAAAGGGAGGAGACCTGAAGGGATCTTAAAAAGCTGGGCTCTCGGGGCATGAGGGCTTAGGGAGGGACAGAGGGTTGGACAGCTGGTTCTGGGAATAAAAACAAGCTCCTGGAGGCCCTTCCTGGTAGCGCAAAGAGTTAATACGCAACCTATGAATCTATCCACAGCCGCTGCAGCATGAGTTCGATTCCTGGCCAGCCAGGGAGCAACCCACATGGTGCAGCAGACCTCTCCTGTCTCACCCGTTGCTCCCCTCAGCAGTGTATTTCAGTCAGTCTTCCTGTTCTGTTTCCCACTCTGTCTCTGGTGAATCCTTTCACTACCCCCCCATACCTCTGGCCCAGTTCTTGTATGCATAAATAAATAAATCTTAAAAAAAAAAAAAAACAAAAAACCAAGCTCCTGGAGAACATATAAAAGGGCCACTGGACAAGCAGCCCAAAGAGACCTGGAGAGTCAGGCAATGACAGATCTGGGGCAGCAGCTGTCCCCGAGCTTGGGGGGAGGAGAGCATCACCCAGCCTGACAGCTAACTAAGCCACTGTCCCAGCAAAGCACAGCATAAAACCAGGCCTCATTTCCAGAAATTTATTGGAAACACGATACAAATTGATTAGTAGATGGCATCTACGTACAGACAGACAGTCCACACACTGTAATAACACACTCTGAATGAATTATCCTAGGGAAACACTCATGATCACTGATGCATGGATTGGGTTAGTGTTCCCTGGCAGGGAAAACCAGAGACTGGGGAGGGGTGGACAGAAAACTGGGACATGGCTTTCCTGAGGGGAACGGGGAGGTGGGGGTGCGAAGTGGGTAAATTCTCACAAAGGAAAACAAGGACAACTGTTAAGAATCAAGGCTTTCTCCTCCCTCCCGGTCTAGGTAGGGTGAAAGAGAATCCACAAAACCCAAAGGGCAGCTCCTCCCTCCACCCTCACCAGACCTTACAAAGGCATGGGCAAAAACATCACACTCAGACATGAGACAGAGCAGACCAAGGCCACACAGGCCTGGACCTGCTTGCCCTCAGAAGTGGTCTCTCCTCCCTGCTCTGCTCTGAGTGGTGGTGGTGGTGGCGGGTGCTGCAGACCCTGCCCCGCCTCCCGGGTCAGCTGCTTCCAGCTGGAGTTAGCTAATAAGGAGGTTTTTGGCAGGGATCTGGACTCTTCATGGATGCAGCAACAGTCCCCCACCACCCAGATGGCCTCTGCAGGCCAGGTCCTGTCCAGTCACCCTGCCTCCCAGAGTGGCCCCACAGCCTCTCCCAAGTCCCATCAGCCTCAAGGGTGGCGGCTGCCTGCTACTGTTTTCCATCTCCGGATTGCCCCTCAGGCTCCAGCTTTGCCTCTCAGCTATTGTTTGCCTCAAACAGCTCTTTGGATTGCAGTCCCCTCTGTTTTAAACATTGAGACTGACTTCTGTTTTCCTGGCTGGATGCTGACTGATAGAAACTGGGCTGTGGGCAAGACAGAATGGTGAGAGGTGTGCTGAAAACCGTCTGTCCTCCTCCCTTGCTCTGCCTCTAGGACAGGGAAGATGCTTACAGAGCTTCTGCCTCCTCACCCACAGGAGCCCAGCCCAGGCTCAGCACAGCACCCACTGGACACATCTGCAGTGGGCCAGGCAGACAGGCTGCATGTCCCCCACCAGCTCACTGCACAAGAGTGACATGCCACTGACACACACCATGGTGACATGGTGGCCCCATGCAGGGCCTGGCTGGGACTGCTCAGAATGGCAAAGGCCAATATTAAAGGCTCCTTGGCATCCTCTCTCCATCTCCTGGAGTGTCCAATCAGAATACAAGGGGACTTTCCAAAGATGAAGCGACAGTGTGAGATCTAAGCCAACATCTTGCTCACTGGAGGACAGAAGTGTAGAGCTAGGAGCTCAAGCTACAGGGTGAAGGGGGGGCTGTCTCAGTACATGAGGCTGTGCGTGTCCCAAAGCTAAATGTAAACTGGAAACAGGGAGAGCCTCTCCCTGTCTCTCCTCAGAACTGGCCTGGTCCTGAGCACTAAATTTCCAGGTCCTGGATAAGGAGGGCCTCTCCCAAGACAGAGAAGCTGGCAGCAGAGGTACAAGCAACCCACTGCTACTCTGATCAACAGTCTCCACACACGTGGGTTAGGAAAGCAGAAGGGCGAGGGAATCATTCCACCATCTACAGGGATGACAAACACAGGGCAGGGGGGCAGAGAGACAGCTGTGCCATGTCTCTGTCACTAGAGAACACAGCACATAGCAGTGAAGGGAAGAACCAGTTGCCCCCTCCCCCTGGGTCTTTCTGGAAGGGCTTCTCAGTGGGGACTCCTGAGGGCAATGGCTGCTCCCCACTTGGGCTCCCTGAGCAGCTCCCACCCAGGCCCCATGCCTCGGGCCCCAGCCAAGACACAGAACGGCTCCAAGAGTTGGCAGTGGCAGGAACATCCCCCAGTCACCCCCGCAAAAGCCTAAGATGAGAACCAACTCCTCCTCAGAAGAGAAGCCACAACGACTGCAGTATTGGCAGAAGAAAAGGCAGTTTGAGCTGAAAGCATCGCCTTCAGCCACCATAAATCACATTCTTTTCTATGCGAACCTAGCCTTGGAGGATCCAGACTCCTGGAGTGCCACCATCATTTTAATGATATTTTACTGTGCTTTGGAGGTGGGGGGAGTGTCAATTCAACTGCAGCCACTCTCCTGCAACTACCTGGCTATTCAGGGTGCCTACTATCAGCCATCCAGGTGCCTCCCAGTTGCAGACCCTGGGAACAGCTGGGAGGCCAGACTCTAGGACTATGATCCTGTACCCTACAACCTGTTTCTGCAAAATAGGGGAGTAGCCAGACTCACATCTGCTCTGGGAGCCAATGGAGCACTAAGTTTTTCCTATTCCTGCAGCTGTGTGCAGTCACAGGCAGCCAGTCTGTGATGCCAGCAAGAGTTGGTACCCAGGGCACATAGGAAGAGCCCAAATTAGCAGACACTGGGCTACGGCAGGTCTCCTGGGCTCACAGAAACCTCTGGGTATGAAGGGCAGGGGCGTCATACCCATACACACAGGCTCACCTGCAAACACAGTTCTCTCACTCCACCCTCTGAGGCCAAATACATTCCATCTGCTTAGAAGAACCTGGCTGAGCTGCGACCAAGGGTAGGACCAATCTGAGTGTGGCTCCTCGCGGCCAGCCTGGCTGCCTGCGACAGGGCGGAACAAAGTGCCTCGCCAGGCTTGGCTTGGTTCAAACACCTGCTCTGGCCACAGCAGTCGGGGAGCAAGCAGGTCCCAGCAGAACCCCAAGCTCTCCTCACTGACACAAAACAGATGCCATGGGGCTTCACAGGCTTATCAAACAAAGACAGTCTCGTCAGAACATCAGGTAATTCTGTACCTTGGACAGCTGGGGGAGGAGGGGCCCATGGATGCAGGAGGCGAAGAACGAAATTTCCCCATTAAAAAAAAAACTACGAAGCCTATTGAGAAAAAGCCAAGTGACAGTAACAGCAAAGTTGGGGGGAAATATCAGGAACTGCATAAACACTGGCACATTTCTTAAGAAAAATCCATTGAGAAAGATGCCATGTCCCTCCTGTACACAATCCTACGGCTTACACGAGAGCTGAGCTGACACATGCAGGGCAGCAGCGGCGCTCAGCTCTCAGCAGCACCACTGCCCGGGGTGCAGAGCGCTGGAGAAGGGAGGGGGCAGAGTGGCTCTCACCACCCCTCAATTCTCAGGCAGGTCCCCCTCTGAACAGCGAGGTCTCTGGGAGGAAAGCGAGGTGACATGATTCACATGTGGAGATGCAGCTTTTGGGACGTGCACTCCTACAGTCTCATCCCCGGCCCCAGCGGGTCTACATGGGGCACGCGCTGAAATGTGCTGGGAATGGGCTGCCTCCTGCCCAGGCACGGCTTGAACATCAGCAGGATGTGTAGCAAGTCTTGGATTATAGGATGAAACAGGCATAGCTCAGTCTGACACACAGCATGTGAGTTCTGGAAAAGGAAAGAGACCGGGTCACAGTTACACGAGTGCCAGGGCAGAGGCAAGAGGAGAGGAAAATGGAGTCAGCCCTCCCGCCACTAGCATCACAGCCTTCAAGGAAAGGATGCTGGGAGTTAATTAAGTCAAATGAAAATTCACAATACAGTCTAAGACTGGAACTGAGTCAAGCTTCATCGAGGCCAAGGAATTAGGTAAGTGGCACAGAAGTATCTCAGAAGCTGGGTCTCAGCTGGGCGGGATTAGTGGTCACTGGCAAGGTGCTGCACCAGCTTCAGGAACTTCTCTGATACGGAAGAGTGGGAAGCAATTGGCCTTCAGGAGGCACAACCTGGCCTGTGTGACCACAATCAGTCTAGTGACGTGGGCACGCAGAGTCAGTCTAGAAACACACTGTCCTACAGGAGGGGAGCAGACTTCAACACCCACAGTGTCACAGTCCTCAGTCTCATGCCCTCCACTTCCCCCAAAGACCTTCAACTCTCCTGCCCCAGAGCTGGGCATCTACAGACTCATAAGAAAGGAGTAAATGAAAAGCAGAAGAAGCCTGCAAACCGTATCATCACCATCTGGTGTTACTCAGCAGGTCTTGAAACCTTTCACTGGGTTATTAGGAAAGCGGCTTGGAGGGAAGCGAGGGGTGTTTACTGAGATGGGGTCGGGTGCCCCAGCACAGAGAGCTCAGACAGTCTTGCCCAACCAGGAGAGGACGTGGGAACGCTCACCTTCACAGCCTCCCGCCATCCTGAGGAGGGTCTGCAGGATGGAGCAGAGCTGCTCCTTCACTTCATGAGCCTTTCTAGAATAGGGGAGATATATACACACAGCCTGGTATTTGATAGGGCTCAGCAAATATGTTTTATATAAAAACCCAGATAACTCAGTTCAGGATTCAGGCTAACCTTTGCTTTATTAAACCTACTGCAGATTATGTAAACTTCCTTATTTAAGTTTCACCAGAACCTAGTGAGGGTATAAAGTTTAGGAACTTGTTCATGGATACACAGTAATTGAAAGAGTCAGCATTAGAACCCAGATCTTATTGGTCAAGTTTTTCCTATTTTACCAAGTGGCCTATTCTGCCCCTCGCCCAGTATTCTGCTAACAGCTAACAATGGCATGCCATATTAATTGCTCCCTAAATTAATGGTTATGTAGGTGTCAGCATCTCTCAGAATCTTTTTTTTATTTTTTTTAAAATATTTATTTTATTTATTTATACAAGCACTGGGTACAGTCGGAAGCACGGGAGGGTGAGAGAATTCACCAGAGCCAGAGCAGGGAGCAGAACAGGCAGACCGACGAAGTACACTGTTGAGAGGAGCAGCGGGTGGCAGGAGAGGTCTGTGTGCCATGTGGGACCCTCGCCAGCGACCGGGGATTGAACCAGCGCTGCAGAGGCTGCGAGCAGCTTCGCAACCCAGCGCTCAACCGCTGTGCCAACAGGGAGGCCCCTTTTTTCATTTTTTGAAGGGGCGCTCTGCCATTCATTTATTTGTACAAACCCCTATGGAATGAAACCATCTGCCAGAACGGCCACTTGTATTAGTTTTCCAAGTTTCTGACATGCCATGGTAAGTTGTGCTTTCTTCTATGTGTGCTAAACTTACCAGCTCCAGTTTCAAAAGCAACCACTTCTTCTGGCAGCTCAGGGTCTGGTTCACACCTGCCTTCTCCACACTGGTCAGGTTTTAAGTTGAGACCTGTCACCTTTCTGCATTCCAGACTGAAGACTCCCAGTGCTTACTACCTGCTCTTTAAGGCTATCACTATCCCCCTGTCCTGCTCAGAGCTCCCTCAGCTCCACTTCATTTGCTTGAAGAAAGGAATCAGAGCCATATACAGAGCCCCAAAAGTGGAGGCTCCCAGCATGAGAGACTGGCAGAGGTTCCCACGCTGATTCCCAGGTTTCCTTCCTAGACAATATAGCCCAAGTCATTCCCTTTTTGTTTAGAAATAAATTCTCAATTGCATTAATCTACATTTGCTACTTTTGTTTATACTAATCCCAATTCACAAGCACTTATTTTTCTTTTATAAAATTGTCCTTGTTGGTTTGACTACTCAGAAATATTTGGAGTCTATGGATTTGGAGATTCTATGATTCTAACCAACCAATGTGATGAAAGCAATCTTTGTTATGGTTTCTAGGTGCTGGCTTCTATGTAAATTTCCCTTCTTCTGAAACCCAGAGGAAAAGCCACCATCAGAATTTGGAGGCTAGAAAGCAGACAGACAAGTGGTCATGGACTATGCACTCAAGAAAGCCACCCTGAAACTGGTAATTTAGCCAAGCCCAATTTGCCCAAAGAATTCTCAAAAGGCACAGGCATTGACCCCAGTTACCTCTGGAAGTGGGGCAGAGGATGAGTTGAAGGCTGTTGAAGAAGCAGCTGGACCCTACTAGTTCTCCTGACTCCATACCCTTAGGTAACATCTACTTCTTACAAGTCTGAGTGTCTATTCTCTGAAGAGAAATGAGACACTGGGCACCAAGCACAGCTGAGGGCAGGGCTACCAATTCCAAAACTGAGTTATCAAGTGAGCATATGCCTACTGAATGGTAAGACCATCAGTCTGTACTGAGTTCCCAGAAAGCAGGCAGCCAAACTTTACCCTCTGGGGAAGAGATGGTGCTATGATCTGAATGTGTGGGCTGCCTACAAAATTCATAGGTCAAAATCTTAATGCCGAAAGTGAGCATATTATGAAGTGAGGCTTTTAGGAGGTGCTTGAGTCATGAGGGTAGAAACTTCATAAACAATTAGAGTTCTTACCAAAGAGACCCTACAGAGTCCCCAGGCCCTTCCACCATGTAAGGACACAGGGAGAAGTCAGCAACCACAAGAGGGTCTTCACCCAAACCTGGCTAACTGACACACAGATTTTAGACTTCCCAGCTTCCAGAATTATAAGAAATACGTTTCTGCTGTTTATAAACCACCTAGATTGTAATATTTTGTTATAGCAGCATGAACAGATGAAGACAGACAGGAACAATTTTTTCTGGGTAATCTGATCAGCACATAAAAAAGACATAACGATACTGCTATTTGGGCCACCCAACCAATACCAATAGCCAGATTACCATGACACGCACTACAGGCTCCACCCACAAGCCTGAGCACTGAGCTACCACTCTGATTTTTGTATCTTATTCTTAAACATTATCAGACAACCAAAGGTCACCAGGAATAAACCCTTGAACACAAAAGTTAGAGAACAAATAAATAATAAAGAACACAAATAGGAGGAAACAGATTATTCATGGAGAATATTTTTAAAAACCATACTATCATTAATATCTCCAGAGAAGAAAGAACATAGTATCCATGAAATACAAATAGTATACTATTTTTTTAAAAAAATTAACAAAACCAAATGGAGGTGGCAGGGAGCCCATAGAAGGACTGAGAAGTTCTGCTTCCTACAATGGTAGGTTCATTGGTATTGGACTAACCCTGTACCAGTAACAGTGATAAAATGTGGTTAAAAGAGAAAAACAGCTGTTTGAAGTTACTGGAGATCAACCTAAATTAGGCAAACACTGCAGGAGACAAAAAGATATAACCTGTGAAAAAAGTTGACATTATGTGAGATCCACTCTTTATTGGCTTTTCCCTTATGAGCACTTCCATACAGTATAGAAGGCTGTAGTTCAAGGAGAAAGCTGCAGTTTAATTGGGCTGAGGAATCAGGGAGAGGTCAGTATGAGGCTGCCATGAAGCTGAGAATTGAGGGAGGAGATCCTGGAAAGGAAGGAAACAGATGGGGGATCCCTCAAATCTACATAAACATTGCCATCAAATCACTGGCTGATTACTGAACTATGCATGTACAATAAGATTCCAGAGAGCTCAGTGGAAAAATTAGCTGAAAGGCTAACAGTTAAGCAGCAAGGCCAGAAGCTGCCCAGTACTGGGAAGACAAAGTTTGGAATTCAAGTTCTACCAAGTGAGAAGGGCTAGCAAACTATGCATTATTTCCACTGAAATCCCATGGGACTAAGAAGTAGACTAAACTAATAAAGTTTTAAACCAACCCTCCACAAAATCAAGGCAATCTACCAATTTAACTGCTTGCTAGAACAAAACTCAACACTGCAGAGGAACATAATAGAATTCAGTGTCTCTACAACTTATTATTCACACAGACTAGTGTTCACTAAAAATTAGACAAGGGAAGCAAGAAAAATATGACCTCTAATCAAAAGAAAAAATATATTGTTTTTATGATTAATGAATGATTCAGATGGTAGAATTGGCAGATACCATTTTTAAATAGTTACTATGTTAAAGAATTTTTGGTAAAAGATGGATGTAATGGGTGACAAGATAATGTGTTTTAGAAGAAATAGAAAAGAACTAAATGGAAATTCTAAAAATGAAAAATACAAAACCAGAAGCGAACAATTTGTTGGAATCAGTGAACTTGAAGATAGAGCTCTAAAAAGTATTCAGATTATATACTGTACTGTATATTCAATTCATATAAAATTGTAGAAAATGTAAACTACTAAAAAAAAAAAAGGAAACAACTCTATGGTAACAAAAAGCAGGTCAGTAGTCCCCTGCTATGAGGTGGTAGTGATGGGGAGCAGCAGGTGGGTGGCTTATAAAATGTGACAAGGAAATTTTTTTAGAGTGATGGGGAATTTTACCATTTTGATTGTGGTGATGGTTTCCTGGTGTATACATGTGAAACTTACCAGATTTTACATTTAAAGTTTGTATAGCTTACTAAATCTCAAGTATGACTCAATATAGTTATTTAAAAAAGAAATGATCATGGACTATGACTTAGGAGGGTTTTTATAAACTTGTACTGCAACAACATGTTGGCTTTAGTGGTGCTCTAAGAATCACTATTTTAAATTTAATAAAACGAGAAAGAATCATTAAAAAATTAAAAACAAGGGGGAAAAAAGTATGTGGTCAAATTAGTATCTGACAGAAAAAGATCTCAAGACATGAGCGTTAAGGGAAGTTTTTCA